CGCAGGGAATAACATGTCGTTTACGTTCTGGGAGACGAACGAGTTCCTACTTCATTGCTGTCCTTTCTATCAGGCTCCGATTATTCGTACATGAACGGATTCCTCTTGGGCATTGCCCAGAAGGGCAAGTACTACTTGCACAACCACGTGAGTCTGGACAGGGCACGGCATGGACACGAGACTTTGTCAGTTCTTTCCAAAGTCGCATTCGTTAGATGCTAGATGCTAGATGATCCATGCGTTCTCGGCTCGTGAGGACTTGGAGTATCACTCGAACCCGGAAAAGTACGAAGGGTTCCGCATCGTTGGCTTCCAGGCAAGCAGCATGGCATGACAGATTGGAGACATGCTTATCTCCATGAGCATGCCGATATTTTGGCGGCGGCAGGTTGAGCCACGCTCTTCTACGCCGTGCACCTGGCTCATTTGGAACATGCTTCTGTTTCCTTTTGTGGTTTCCTGAAGTACCCTTGATCTGCCTCCCGTACTGGCGTATGTGGAGTGGGACTTCGACAGTTCTTCGATGTTCCCGTGTTTTGGACATGGACATGCCCCACATGACAGGAGGGGCGGAGAACCTGATTGCTCGACCAGCGCGGTCGCATTCGATTTGGATTCGTCAGATGATGTGGTGTTTCCACCTCAGCCCCAGCAGTGCCCGTGTCAGGAAGCTTGCTTATGCTCAGTAGAAGCTCCGAGCATCCGAGAATTGCTTCTGCTGGCAAGTCAGGTTCAGCTATTCCGTTCATTGGACGGAGAATACTGAAGTGAGTGCCGAACTTACAGTATTGATTCTGTGTCTGTTTGAGAGTGACTTGCCAGTGTCTTTTTCTATCTGTTGTTCAATGTGTGTGCTCTGAGCGTGCAATGCTGCTGTCCGGAAGGATGGGCATCTCGCTGGGATGCCTACCTGAAAGTGCGAGCACCTCAGAGCTTGTAAAGCTGGGACCTGGCTTTTTGGACCTGGCTTGGCCCCGTGGAGACAAAGCCCAGCAGCTTCAATGACCAAGGCAAGGACAAGGGCAGATCCACTGGTTTGCGATTCTGAACTCGCTTATGATCCTTCTTTTCTTGTGCGTCTCCGAGCTGATTCTCCTTGTGCAGCCGGCAGGATCCATGTATACGTTGTCTCAGGTCTGGCATGGTTGCCATGATCCTCTTGAGAACCTTGCACAGGGACATCGCGACGTACAATCAGGCTTTGCCGACAGCAGGGCTTCAAATTGCCTGAAGCGAGCTTCACAGCTCGAGGTGCCCACAGAGGAAGAGGCCAAAGAAGAGACAGGCAGAAAAGAAAACCGGTGGTGACCTTCTGCCGAGGGGCCTAGGCCTAGGCACTGGTCTGTTCTTAGCTGCAGGCTGGAAGCTGGTGCATGGGGACGTTTTCCGCAAGCCGCAGTACTCCACCCTCCTTTGCGTGGTCACTGGCTCCGGTATGCAGCTCTTGGGCATGTCCGTGGCCTTGGCCTCGACATTCTGAGAGGGCGCAATGCAAGCGCGAAATCCGAAGAAGAAGAGGTGACCATTGTCTTCGCCCTCCTGGGTTTCCTGTCGCCTGCACATCGTGGGAGCTCCTGCCTCAGTATGGAAGTCGTGCATCGAACGGAGCCAACATCCATCAACAACTCTGAGGCTTGCTGCAGTCTATGATGCTGCTCTTCACCCTGATGGGAGTGCTCGGAGGGTACACTTCAGCGCGACTCTGCAAGGCACCAGATCAAGAGCCGTGCGAAAGGGGTACAGACACGTGCACGGAATCACAGTCAAGATGTGAAGGTGTTCGACGGAGATGAAGGTCGCTGGAAGATGACCACCTTTATGCAGGCCTTCTTGTTCCCAGGCGGGTGCAAAAGCCACGATGAACTTCAGTCAGCTCATCGATGATTTCTCAGGCCTGTTTTTCGGCATTTTCTTCGTCTTGAATCTCTGCATTTGGGGCGAGAAGGTGTGTGTGCTTTGCTCCATGAACTGCGGAAGTATGCTGTCTTTGGTGCCTGCCATGGCAGTCTTCGGGTGCAGTGGCTTTCACCACCTTGTTCGCCATCTTGGTGCTGTGGTCGGGATCCCAGACAGAGGCATGCATCCCCCGACCCCTGCACAAGCCGATGCTGAGTGGATCAGGTTTGGAGTTTCCGTGCCACTCGTATTTTTCGGCGCTTACACAGGTGCAGAGAGTTTGCCATCATGACACGCAGGGCAGACGTCCAAGGGTTCGGCGAGAAATGGAAGCAATGTTTCACCGGGCGCCAGGATTCAAAAGAGATCGAGTGGAGCTGCCGGTTCGCACAAACCAGGCAGGGCTCTACAAAGTCTGAAGTATGCGACCTTGCCCTGCGACCCGTGCAGATTCCACGTGCAATACCAGACCAGCGTGGGCCTTGGCCCGGGGAGTTGAAGGGGAGCAGAGAGAAGGCATTCGGATCGACTCGTTACTGTTCTGATGCCGCTGAATCCAAGACCTTGGTATATGCAGCCCTTGGCCACTTCTCTTGTGGGTGGTATCCTTCCCTTCGGTGCTGTGCCGGAGTCCTAGCATAATAAAGGCACGTTTGATGTCACAGAACCATGACATGACATCGTTTGCTGAAGGTTCACCGAGCTCTTTTTCATCATGTCTTCGATATGGCTGCATGAGCCGCTATGCCAGTCAGAATTTCTCAGCAAGTACGGCTTGGCCTGCCCTGCGAGCACCAAATTCCAGGTTCTACTACTTGTTCGGCTTCCTGGCCCTGGTGCTCCTCATCGTGATGGTGACTTGCGCCGAAATCTCCATAGCTTTGACGTACTTCCAGCTCACCTCGGAGGCTGCTTTTGGAGATTTTCGCACCCCGGGTGCGAAGAAGACAAAGGTCACAGCCTGTGCGAAGGACTATCGCTGGTGGTGGACCGCCTTTGCAGCAAGCGGCAGCTCCGGACTCTACGTCTTCCTTTACTCCATCATGTGTGCACAAGGGCATCATCTTGTTCGGGGGCTGATGCCACTGCCTTGCAGGTACTTCAATTCACGCCTGCAGATTCGGCATTGGGTCTCCATCCTGATGTACTTTGGGCTCCTTGGGCTTCACCTCTTCGAACTTGACCGAATCCTTTGGTTGCAACGCAAGTCTCCACTTCAGGTACATGTTCATTATGTCGAGCATCTTCGCCCTCGTGAGTGGCGCAGTCGGTGTGGAACTGAGATCTCATGTCGGAAGCAGGCTCTGACAGCGAGCGATGCCTCAGGATTCCTGAGCACTTTCCAGTTCGTCAAGGGGATATATGGCTCCATCAAGATTGATTAGTGGAAGGCGGGGGGAGCTTTGGGTCTTCACGCAATGCCTTTGGAGAAAGCACGTCCTAGATATCCGAGCACTGCAGCGATGCGCTGCGCAACGAGTCTTTGGACACAACATGAGCACGCAGAAATAGGCAATCTCATGAAGAGGAAGAGTTCTGCCACTTCTTGCGAGGAGCTTGGTTGGAGTTAGTCGTGGTTAGTTGTGAAAGCAGCCGGATGAAGTCCTTCCCTTATTCCTTGGTTGGACAGTGGAAGAACTGGCGATCCGCCCATCAGATCCGGATCCAAAATTTGCACGGCTCCTCTCTTTCAACAGGACTGGGCTCCTACTGTAGGACACTCGATGCATTCACTGGTTCCAGCGGCGGTCCTTCTTTTGCAGCACAAAGGAGTGTCTTGTTTCGGTAGTGCAGCTGCTTGCTCTTTTTGTAGAGTGCGAGCATGCAGCACAGGTACATGTATGCATATATATATATATACATACATACATACATACATACATACATACATACATTCTCAGTGCTGTTTGTCAGTGTGGAGGCCTACCACAATCCCAATACAATCCCCGTTCGGCGCTTTCGGCCATGTCACGAAACGTCGCTTCTTCGGCTGCCGCAATTGTTTTAAGTGGTTGTAGTGCCGTTTCGCTTCGGACCAACTTGTCTTGGGTTGCGGGACGGAAAGCTGCAATAGGCTTGCGCACGGGAGGCGAATGCGGTCAGCAGCTGCACCAGCCGATGCCAACGGTTTCAACATCCCAACATTCCAACAGGCTAACGCTTCAACTTTCCAAGATGCTCGGTACCAGGCCTCATAGCCAACAAGAGAAGCAGGCAGTCTCTTTCGTTTTCTCTGCGGCGCATGACGGAGCAGTGATGGGGATCAGATGATGCAACACGACGGTTTGTACAGGATAACGGCAAACTGCGTGGGCCATCTAGATAATGCCTAAACTGCGCCATCACCTTTTGTAATGCATCGGTAACCACGCTCTCCTCCTTGCATTGATTCTATCCGCCATGCCAGCGCGCTCAGAATCTTCTTTCTGTGCCGTGCAGGTCGATGCTGGGCTTGTTCGCTTGTAGTCTGGTGAGTTGGTGGGCCCGCTGCTGAATTCATCGAACTGCATGGATCGTGGCGGGCCGTGGTCTACTGCTAGATGGCAAGCGGCCGAAGCAAAGGCTGCAAGCTTGAATCCCCAAGCAAAGGCTCGACAGTTGCAGTTGGTGCACGCCGCGACACGGGGTGAAGACGGCCCCTATAGCACCGGCCGATAGCCACTGCCGGGAGTGCAACCTGTTGGCAGATGCGCTTGAGCAAAAAAGGCTGCGCAAGAGAATCTCATTCGGTTCATGAGGGAGAGTCCAGAGTGCCGCAATTCTGCAGTGTTGTTTTGTTTCGTAGCTTTTGTCATGGTCAAGGCCCAAGGAGCCTTCAGGGTGACAAGAACCCACAACAAACTCAGGCTTGCATGTGTACATCCCTGTGGAACTTCAGTTTTGTTAGTGGTTTCTTGAACGGCGTCCTACTGCCAGGCCCGATGTCCCTGACGTGAACTCAAGTTCTACAGTCTGCATAAGTTATGCCTGATTGTAGCAGTAACAGTAGGGTTGTAGGTTGACAACTTACCGACTTCATGTGAGCATTGCATTCTGCAAGGCGGGAGTTGGTGCTTTGTGTTTGTTTTCGCCACGAAGGCATGCCTACTTTGAAAGGTTGGCGCATGGCCACAGCGGCCGTGGCCCAGCCCATCAGAGAGGTGAGACGCTGACTAAGCCCACTCCTGGACTGCAGACGGCCGACTCCGCCCCTGCCAGGTTGGCTCGGCGGCTGCCGAGCAGGATTTGTGGGGACTCGCTTCCATCAGGATCGGGTCGTGTTGGACTTTGTTAGGAGCGGGCTGTCTATATTGATGACGAGGCGGCTGGGCCCTCCTGGCCCTCGCCTAACGGACTCGAATCTGGCCCAGGTGCCTCCGGGGTTGATCGGAGACAGGGATGACTCGTCACAGAGGCAGGGCCTGCCAGAGGCGCCCCTGTCCCCGAGTCGCCTTTCTGAGAGTCCCTGCAGGTCTCCCAGCTTGGAGTCTGTTCGGGACAAAGCTCCAAAGGCCGGAGCAAAGCAGGCAAAGCAGACTGGGTCCTTTTGTTGCTGGCAGGAGGTGGCGACTGACGTTGCTGGAGGGACGATGGCCGTTCCTGCGCAGTACGACTACGTCGTTCAGGCTCGAGAGCGCTGCGCCGTGGGTTTCGAGCTGATGGGCTTCTTTCAAGCACAGGCAGAGGAAGCGCCCTTGCTGGATCAACCACAGGCAGTTGTCTCGCTGCCCTTTCAGTAGATGTTGCCTTGGGTCCTCACTTTGCGTGGGGCTCGATAGCTTGGCACGTGGAGGTCTCTAGCCCCCAGGAGAATAAGAAGGCTGCACAGGACTGCCTGCTTGTCAATCTCCTCCCCCTCCTGCTCCTCCTCCCTTGCTTCTTCTGCACCGCTGAACTTTGAAAGTGTGCAAGTGCAATAATAAATGCTCAAGGTATAATGTCCCATAGTGTCCCTAACTCGGAGGAACTTCCGCCGGGCGCCGTGGGGGTAACATGGCAGCAAGACGACGCAAGACACTGCAGCCACTGCAGTTGAATGTGGCACCACGTCGGGCTTCTTGTCTGGAATCGGCGATGGTGGGGCGGGTAAGGCACCGTTCGTGGCCGATGAGATTGAAGATGCTTCCCCACCGTCTCCAGGCTGCCCGCCAGAATGCGAGAAAGTTGATCCTTGATGTGAAGTCCGCAACTGGTCAGGAGACAGCCCTGAAGCGATCCCTGCCACCGGCCCGGATCCCTGAAGTTAGGAGTCCCACCAGTTTTCATGGGGCTGAGGCGCGCTCTCCCGCCTCTCCAAGCAAAACCTCATTCCATCAGTGGGAAGAGGTGCTTTGGCCCTGTGTCAAGGCGACATAACAGCGCTTCCTTACACGCGAAGGCAGATGTCTCCTTGCTCAGCGGCAGCAAGCAGGCTACCTTTCGCAGACGACTTGACTATCCGCAGAACCCTGGCATTCCAGTTCGCCTTGCTGCAGGTGGTCCGCGTATTCTGCGGAGTTTGGAACCTCCACGGGAAGAAGGCGCTGCCTCTCTGTACGAGGAGATGCATTGCAATGTGTTGCATGTCAAGCGGAAGCACGGATGTTGAAAAGGCCCCGGCAAGCTTAAATCAATGGGTGCCGACATCTCCAAGGCGCCTGAAGTGGAGTTGCAGTAGGCGAAGATGGCAAGTGTGGGAGTTGTCCTGAGGCATCACATCTATGTCGTTGGCACCTGCGAGTGCGAACGAACAATAGAGAAATCGCTTATATGGTCCAGCAAGGCCCGCATCGACAAACAGCTGGTGCCAGCGACTGCAGTCAGAAGAAGTTGTCAAGGCGAGATGGGAGCGCCAAATGTGCGAACACCTCGGTGAGGACTCAGACAGTAAGGTTGCGCCGGCGCCGAGAGTGCAGTAGTCTCGACAGGACTTTCGCATGATCGGGTCGCACAATATGAGTGCAGAGCTCAGCCTTGACTTCCGCAGCTCCTCCAATCACTTGTGCAGCTTCCAGGTGCTGTCCATGTCATGGTTTTCATTCACCGGTCGCTCTGGAGATATTGCTGGGAACCACGGACCTGTCAGGCGCGAGGCAGCATGTTCGCTCTGTCCCATGTCGGACTTGCCGGAGGTCGCGACGGGCTTTGCCAACCTCGTGGGAAATAAGGGCGGCACGCAGGCGGAGACTGTTGATTCCCTTGCGAGGCGATGGCTACATGAAGTGGTTTGCGACTCTGGTTACATGCCATCTTGGAGCTCAAATGTGTAAAGCAAAAACACTTTGCGCAGAACGTCCACTTCACAGTCAAAGCAGAGTAAGCTGATTTCCTCCTTTCACCGCAAGCAAAGAGGGCGCTGCTATCCGTGTACAGCCGTGAGTTCTCCATCGCAAAGCCAGCAAGACACTCTGCATGTGATGGCTTGCCAGGGTTTCGAGGCGGGTGCAACGGCAGACATGATCGATGGTGTTGCGAGTGTTTTTCATTCAGGGCGAGCTGCTTCTTCCTGCCTCCGGTCGCCAGTTTGTTTGCGCCGGACCCGAATTCGATGGGCTCCATGTACTTTGGCTTGGTGAGCTGTGCCAAACCCCTTAGGGTGCTGTTGTCCCCATGTCTTCCCGCCGGACTGAGCGCGATGTCACAACAAGGCCATCAGCAGAGAGCAGCCAGAGCTCTCTTTGCTCCTCGCCAAGGTCCCGGCCCCGGACGGGGAGAGGATCCGAAGCTTGTACTGCTGTCTAGAGTGAGACAGAGGGAGAGAGACAAACGCCGAGCAAGCATGTCTGTCTGGCTCTCTGTTTCTCCGTCTCTCTGTCTCTCTGGCTGTCTGTCTCTCTGTCTCTCTGTCTCTCTGTCTCGCTGTCTCTCTGTCTCTCTCTGTCTCTGTCTCTGTCACTGTCT